TGTGGATCAAGTTTAAATTCAGAGCACCTGTTGGGTTTATCTAGTGCATATGTAGATATACTGTAAGTATATGCAGCATATATACATATGTATACATAGTTCACCACCAAATAGTCTCGCTTCCATGTCATTCTAACCCAAGTAATATAAAAGTAAAGTAATTTGCTTTGAACGGAATGCATACAGTACTAATACTCAAACATATTCAAGTTCTTAGGATACACCTATGGTGTTAGGGTGAAACATAAGAGAAAGTGTACGATTGTATTAGCCTAAAACATTCTGTTCAGAACGTTGTGCAAAATGCATCGCGTTTTATATAAAAATTAGAGTTTACGCCATTAATGTTATAGTCGTGAACACTGCAGTATTCCTGATCAGAGAAGATTCCACGTAGCAAATAGTATTCATATAAGATCGTTGTACTGATAGAAAATATTCCAAAACTATTCATGACATTACATTCGGAAACGGATAATGAACGTAACATAACATAAATGGTATAGGAGGCATCACCATTATTACCGAAGCTGGAACCCGATGTGCTAGGCATGGGAGTAGGATTAGGAGTGGGAGTGGGAGTAGGAGTAGGAGTTGGGGAGGACAGCATGGACGCTGGTGGTCCACCGTCCGTTGGATCCGCAGAAGCTCAACCGGTGCTCTCCAATACCCAAACACCTGTGTCAACCAAGAAGGTAGGACTTATCGTGACATTATTTGTTTACAATTTATTTACATGTTACATTTTTATTTATTTCATTTTATTTTTGTTTAGAGAAATATGCCAGCATACTTCTATTTTTCATTTTTCAATTTTACACCGTTTATTATCTATACATTAGAACAACAATTAGATGTCTTACCTTTAAAGGTATAAATGTCAAGACTTATTCATCAGACAGTGACATTATAATTTGTGTTTTCTTCTGTTTAGAAAACGGCGGGTAAGAAATTAGTTACGGGCTATATTTTGTATTCGAGTAAAATGCGAACGCAGATTACACAAAACAATCCTGAATCATCCTTTGGGGAGATTAGCAGAATTGTTGGCAACGAGGTATTTATTTATTTTTGACTGTTGATTTTTAGTTTACAATAAGAATATATTTATTAAGGAAGGACAGTGTGTAGATTATATTTTCCAATTGTATCATAAAAACTTATGAAATTTGCTTTTCAAAAGCTATCAGTCAGAGAAAGATACAACATGCTATGTCTTTCCTTTAAATATATTTAATTTTTATTAAGGTTACCATTCACAAATTACACATCAAAATCTATTAATATTGCTAGTAATTATATATTCAAGTCAATAATAGAATGTATATTTAATTATATATTATTATTTTCATATATAATGGTAGCCATAAATAGAAATCCAATAGTAAACAATTTCATTAATCATTTTTCCATGCTCTACTATGAAAAAGGTTTGAAAAAATGGACTTGCACAGAGTATTAAAATGTCGTATAAAGAATAACATAAATATGAATCTTTTTTATTTCAGTGGAGGAAGTTGCCAGCAGGAGAAAAGCAAGCATGGGAAGAAAGAGCAATTAAAATGAATGAAGATGGGGGACAACTAAAAGGGACATCTGTTTCAGTAGGCACTAATTCTATACAAGATGTAGTATATGAATGTTGCTGGGACAATTGTGACTGGCAATTTGAAGATATGACTGATTGTATTGATCATTGTATTGCTGAACAGAATGGACACGTGCAATCGTCTTTTGTTAATGCCGCTAGTGGTATGTAATTCTAATACTCTTAGCGTCGAACACTATTTTATTTCTGCAAAATTTAACGTTTATTTTTCTATAGACGTGGAATTCCAATGCCAGTGGCGTGGTTGTGGTCGTACGAAAAAATCTGTACCTCCTTTCCCAAGTGTACAAAGACTTGCAAGGCACGTTAAAGAAGTGCATATCCTTAAATCGAATGGACGTATAATACCTCCTTCAGAAAGAAGCAAGTATGTCGTCAGAATTATCATGTTGTATTTTTCGAGTTGCAGAACTTTACTTCAAATTCATTTTTCAATTACAGAAATTATATGGCCTCGAAAGGTCCAACGATATTACCGCCAATGGAGACTGGTAATTAATTTGTACTAATTGCATATTTCTATTTACAAAGATTGTGACATTTGCATTATTACGCATAATTTTATGTACAGAAACATCGGCAGCTGCGACACAAACGAGCAATATACCCGTGGCTAAACAGCCAGAACCAATGTTTGTTGCTGTTCCTCCAAGACCAAGCCGTGTGTTACATTCAGATGCCTATCTACGGTAAGAAGAGCTGATTTATTAATATTGATATATCATACATTTATTATAATTAATAAACATATTCGAAATTAAACTCTTCATTTAATTCACAGATATATCGAAGCATTAAACGTAGAAAACCGGTACATATCAAACTGGGATAAACAGATGAATGCTAATCCTGATAATACACAAATTCCTGATGTAACAAAATTACCAGCTGAATGGCTAGGCAACGGCGTAGGCAACCATGGGAATGTGGTAAACGCCTTATGGACACTAAGGAACATGATGATGCGAGATGTGTTAGCCATCAATAAAACTTTATAGTTTATAATTCGTTAAGATCTATAATCTTTAATATTCGATGCTACCTTAAATTACTATTTTCAGGTCCGTCGATGCTAGATGAAAGACTGACGATTATTATTTGAATTTCAGTATATTTATACTTTTAGACTATTTTCTTTTTATTTTACAATTTGATATAGTATTTGAAATAGAACTTAATTATAATACACTCGGTTAGTAATTTCTGAACTGTAATGAAATTAGAACTCTGAGAACGAGTGTATCACTGTGAAATATTCGGATCTGAAAAGTATTTACAAAACAATTTTTATTTCTTTTAAGTTACAGTTTTCACTAAGTGAAAA